GTTCTCTTCCTTTATGCTTCTATCTGTTGTTTTTGTTTGGTGGTATTCCATACATATTTCTTCTGTTTCTTCTTTTTTTAAGCTATATGTCTTGTTTGGGGGATTTTTGTGTGTGGTTGCCATTAGTTTTATAAAAAGCGAAGTTGCATATATACCATGGTTTTTTCCCTTTTGAGTGCATCTGATCTTCATCTTCCTTTACCCATTCATACCTGTCCCTCTTCCCTTTGTATGTTTTTGTTGTCACAAATTATCCCTTTTATGCTATGAGTTTTTTGGCAATCCTACTCGTAGTGTTATGACCTTATGTTCTTTGTTTCTGGTAGAATAACTCCCTCCTGCAATAGAGGTTTTCTAGTGATAAAATCCCTCAGCTTCTGTATGTCTGAGAATGTTCTTATTTCTCCTTCATATTTAAAGGGTAATTTTGCTGGATATAATATGTATAGCTGGTAATTTCTCTCTTTCAGATATTTGAATATTGGGTTCCACTCTCTTCTGGCTTGTAGAGTTTCTGCTGATAAGTCAGGTGAAATTTTTATGGGTTTTCCTTTATAGGTTACTTCCTTCTTTTCCCTGGATGCTTTGAGGATTTTTTCTTTGTCACTAATTTTTGATAGCTTCATTACCAAGTGCCTTGGAGAGGGCCTCTTTGAATTGAGGTCACTAGGTGTTTTGTTTGCTTCTTGGATTTGAGGATCTAGTTCTTTCCATATGTTTGGGAAGTTCTCATCCACTATTTGTTTTAATAGACTCTCCATTCCATACTCTCTCTTCCTCCTCCACTATGCCTCATGATTCTGGTGTTATTTTATTTTTTTATGGAATCAGAGAGATCTCATAGGGCTATTTTGTATTTCTTTTTATCAGGTCTCTCTCTTCTTCCCTCTGCATCATTTCTTGATTCCTATCTTCAATATCACTAGTTATTTTCTCTAATTGGTTGGTTCTGTTTTCTATGCTCATCAGCTCACTCTTAATTTCTTTAATTGCCTGCTTCATTTCCAGGATTTCTGCTTGATCCTTTCAAATTTCAATTTATTTGGAGAAATACTTATTTTGTTCATTGATTTGTTTTCTGAGTGCTCTGAATTGCCCGTCAGTATTTTCTCACTTCTCATTGAGTACTAGAGGCCTGGTGCATGAATTCATGCACATTGAAAGGAAATTAATTAGAAGAAATATTTTAATATCGCTATTCGCCCTTTCTCTATAATAGAGGTGTCAACCAAATTCACGATTGACAATAACAGATGGAAACACACGCGTGCGTTGGTGCCAGTGAGAGCTTTATATATATATAGACTAGAGGCCCAGTACACAAAATTCGTGCACTGGAGGGGGATGGGGAAGTCCCTCAGCCCAGATTGCGAGAGGGCACAGGCTGAGGGACCCCACCAGTGCACAGTCGGGGCTGGGGAGGGACACAGGAGGGCTCCAGGGCATGTCTGGCCCAGTCCTGATTGGCCAGACCCCAGCAGCAAGCTAACCTACCAGTCGGAGCATCTGCCCCCTGGTGGTCATTGCCCCTCATAGTGACTGGTCGACTGTCTGCCCCCTGGTGGTCAGTGCATGTCATAGCGAGCGGTTGAGCGGCCTTTGCATGTCATTAGCATATTTGCTTTGATTGGTTGACCAGACAACTGGACACTTAGTATATTAGGCTTTTATTATATAGGATAAACTTGCTTAATTAGACCTGCTTTCTGATTTAACTAAACTTTTTCCCTCCCAGTGAAGCACCCCAACTTGTCTTTCAGGTAATTGTCAGAACACAGCAGTACATATCAACATGAAGCAGATTATTATTGTAGATCACACAGGGAGAACAAAGCGTGAAATATTTAACTGTAGCAATGTTTGACTATATTCTGCACAGTGAGAAAACCTGAAGTCATTTTCAAGTTCCACCATTTCTTCTTTTCAGTTCGGTCAAGTTTCTAAACTTTCTAAATCTCTGTCTTCCAGCTAATGAAAAGAAAATAGGATCCCACTGAGTCTCCTATCTACCTACTCCAGGACTTCTGTGAGGATAAAATGAGATGAGGCATGGGAAAACGCTTCACAGACATTTGCTTAAAGTGTAGTGCAAGTCAAGTTCCTGGGCTGAAGAAACTCCAAGGAGGCTAGTCGCTAGGGAGAGGAAGCTGGGCATTGCTACGTGACGTCATTACCCAGCGCCCACAGCCACCGTTTCCAGGCTGGGCTGTGGGCTGCATTTTGCACCATGGGATCTCGGCAGCGTTAGCTGCAATTTGGTGGGCTGTTGCTCCGGGGAGGTGGCAGGGCCTGTGTCCCACTTGGGGGAAGCCGAGTGTTGCTTTGTTGGTGCCAGGTCCATGGTGCTATTTCTTTGTAAATGGCCAGTGTGTGTCACGGCAGCTCCTGTATTAAGCATCTGCCCCCTGGTGGTCAGTGTGCATCATAGTGACCGGTCAGATGGTCGGAGGGACACTTTAGCATATTAGCCATATATATATATATATATATATATCTATATATCTGTAGATATATAGATATATAGATATATAGATATCTGTAGATATATAGATATATATATCTGTAGATAGATAGATAGATAGATAGATAGATAGATAGATAGATATTCAGAACTGCAGTCTTGAAATCTCTGTCTTTCAACTCTCATAATTCCATGTGTTCCAGCCTATTTTCTGGGGATTTTTCATTTTCTTTCTGGTCATCGTTGTTGTAGTAGTTGTTCATGGCATTCACTGTTCTCCTTTGTTTTCCCATCTCTGAGGAGGTCTTTCTACTCTGTTCCAGTAGATGGCACTGAATTGCAAGATTTTTATCCTCTTTGGCCTCATAGTTTTGAGCCTCTGCAGCTTACGTAGGGCTGTACCGTCTCTGTTGCTTGGGGGTGAAGTTTGTTTTTCCCTCACAGTAGTGGCGACCCCTAACCTCCACAGGTCCAGCCCAAGCACCACCCCCTGGGGTTCAGTCACAGAGGGAAACTGAGTTTCTACTGCAACAGCTCTTGGCCTACAGGTAATTCACTGCTGGAGCCAACTCCAAGGGCAACGGGAAGCGAGATTTTGGAGTTGAATCAGTGGCAGGGCTCTGTGATTTACTTTCTTTGCCTGAAAGCCCACAGCCAGGCCACCCGTGTGGAGCAGCTCTGTAGGGCATGTGTCTGCTGACTCCAGCTCACGCATGCAACTCAGACCCCATTCACAACGCGCCCGCATGGTTCAGACACTCTCTCACTGCTGTGTGCATGACCACACAATGCCGCCACTCCAGTGGCTACTCCAACAGCCAGCCACTGGCTGGGTTTGCTCTCTGTTCACCCTGACCGGCTGAGGAAAGTGCCCGTAACTGCTGCTGCCAGTTCCCAGCTGCACTGCAGACACGCTGCTGCACTGTGGCTGTGTTCAGCTTCCTCCCTTCTCATCTCCCCACTTATTCCAGGGAGCCCAACTAGTTGTCCCAGTGTGCAGGTCTCTCAGTCATGCATCCGTGTTGAGCAGGGACTTATTTGTTGAATTATAGGTGGTGATTTTGTTGAGATGTTAATGGGGAGAGGATAGACACGCCCTTACACCGCCATTCCTCTGACCTCCACCTAAACCTGTGTTCTTTTTTTTAAAATATATTTTATTGATTTTTTTACAGAGAGGAAGGGAGAGGGATAGAGAGAAACATCAATGAGAGGGAGACATCGATCAGCCGCCTCTTGCACACCCCCTACTGGGGATGTGCCCGCAACCAAGGTACATGCCCTTGACCGAAATCAAACCCGGGACCCTTCAGTCCGCAGGCCGATGCTCTATCCACTGAGCCAAACTGGTCAGGGCTAAACCTGTATTCTTAAAATAAACTTTAGTTCAGTGTTTATGAACATGGGTCTAAGAAACACTTATGTCAGAGACACCTGTGTGTTTATGAAAAACATGCTTCCTAGACCCCGCCTCACCTTTAATAAATCAGACCCTCTAGGAGCGAGGTACACGACTTCCCATTCTTGGCAACCACACCACGTGATTCTAATCTCTACCATCCTGAATTGTAGTGAATCAAAATGAATGATGTTGTTGCTTAAACATCACCAACTGCCAACATTTCTTTGATAAACACCCATCAGTTGCCTGTCAATCTAAAAGGGAAAGTAAAAGTTAGTGTAGGCCTGGTCCAAAGGGAGAAGAGCCCAAGTAAATAAATGAATGGCTCAAAGCACGTGGTGAACCAGAGCACGCTCTATGCAGCACTGTCTCGTTACAAACCGAGGAAGAAAGAAGAAATGTAGATTCCATAAGGAGGTAAAAACTGCCAAGTGCTCAGAGCTTCCCTTCTTCCCCTCATAGTTCCCATCTGGTTGGTTGTACATAGACGCAACAACTCATATCTGATGGACTAAAAATAGGTTAATGACTCTACTTCAGTTCATATTGAAATGATCTTCTCATGCTTAACATGAAGCAAAACTCCAGAGTTAGCACTTTCTGAGAAGAAAGGGGCCTAAGTTATTCTCAAGTAAACTGACATTTATTTTCATTCATGTAGTCACTTCAAATGTATCTTGACTTGATTACACTCTATATTTTGATCAGCGATATAGAAACGGAAGAATAATTCATATAGCGATGCCTTCTATGTTCCACTATTTGAACCATCTTTCTGAAAGCGTTGTTCATGTAAGACATCCGAGAAGCTCACATTCTTGAGATAAAAACAAGACATTCTCAGAATCGATGCATCTGATGCCTGTCTGTCCACAATGCACTCTAGGGCAGAGGATTTGTGTCACACATAGGAGCCTAGGTACCAGAAATAACAGCAGGCTTTTCAATAACTGGCCCCATTACCGAGTGCCTATTGTTAGTGGGATTAGAACAGAGTGACCAAGGTTCAATGTACATGCAGCAGGGAGCAACCCTTGGAAGATAAGGTAAGTGGCAAAATTTTGAGTTTACCACACTGATGCATTAATGAGCAAGATTGTTTTTCCAAACTGGTTTTTGTCTTGTTTTGTTCTTTAGTTTTATCTATAAGTGACCCATCTTTCAGAAGCCACGAATTATCCTGGATGTCTTGCTTCCTTTCATATTTGTAAAAAGACACATATTGAAATGCCGTTCCAGGCTTTTTCTACAGATGGTATCCTTTTTTACGTGGCACAACACCTAACAGCACAATCAGGTAAAGTTGGCAGGATCTTTGGTTGCAAAGTGGAAAAAATCCTAATGAATTCCCGATAGTCCATTAAGTAATAGGTGATGAAGTATTTTTATTTAAGTCACCTTGCCTATCAATATGTAAACACTTGATACTTTCATGTTCTATTGTTACTGTGAGCGTTATGTTTATGAATTGACTCCCTAAATATAAATGTTAATAAAATAGCAAGAGCTTCATTAGAATTAAAGTTAGCAAAATCCAAATATAGTATAATCTTAGCTTTATAATAATCCCATCAAAAAAAGGTTGAAGCCATATCTGATAGTCTATGTCAGAGGTTCTCAACCTGTGGGTCGCGACCCCTTTAGCGGTCAAATGACCCTTTCACAGGGGTCACCTAAGACCATCCTGCATATCAGATATTTACATTATGATTCATAACAGTAGCAACATTACAGTTATGAAGTAGCAATGAAAATAATTTTATGATTGGGTCACAACATGAGGAACTGTATTTAAAGGGCCAGAAGGTTGAGAACCACTGGTCTATGTCAAAAGGAACAAAATATGCACATAACAGATTTGTTTTTTAAAAAAAAAGAAGGCATGCTGATAGTTTGCCAATAAATCTGTCCACATTACAGCTCCAAAATTTTTTCTTTAAGTTGTTCTGTCTTCTAAATGGTAAAAACATAGGATCTACATCCCAAATTAAGTTTATAAAAAATATTAACTATAAAAATTTGCATAACTATTGTAAAAGAATATTGATTAACAATATCTAAGTACTATGCTTTAGTTTTAAAAATTAATATTTGAGTTTTTACTTTGTTCTTAATTTAGTTTTTTATTTTGTTCTCCGGAACTTAAAAAAGACACTTGCATGCATTTTTACTGCAAAATCTTTTTAAAATTTTACATTTAGGATTTTTTTTTTCATTTTGTTTCTCAGAAAATGAAGTTTTTGTATTGAGAAATAATTCAGTTTTCTTCTCATGGTCAACAAAAATCGTACCTGATTTTCACAATCTACTCTAATTATTTTTAAGGTGCTTTAATATGTTACTAAGTGATAATATCAGAGAATTAGACCAAAGTGGTTCCATCTCAATGCACTAATACCTTCAAAATTAATTCAAGGAGAAAAGATGATACTTCCAAAGAAAAAAAGATAACATGATTGAGTTACAAAATATACCTTAGAAGAAATTTTTCTCCTGAGATTTGATATTATATTTGGTTTTAAATTCATGATTAATTTAAATATCTGTGAAAATGCTAAATGGGAGAATCATGCACAAACAGAAATTTTCTGTTTATAAATCAAGAGACATTAAGAGGTAATTGGCTTCAGTTATATTGCTCATTAAAAATACCCTCAGTTAACCTTTGTACAGTAAGGGCAGAAAATCAAGAAATATTTGGGACTGGCTAAGAATGCTGTACCATAATTTTATAATCAGTATATATACTTCACAGTATATAAAATTAAAAGCTCGTACACATTAAGAATCATAGGAGGTAAGAACACTTTTTTGTTACATGTTATTAAAAGGCATTGTATTACAGTTCATGAAAGTCAAGATTTTCCTTTTAGACACTATTTACAAAGAGAACTAAAAATATACTAATTAGTTTTATGTCATGATCGGTGCTGTATCTGACACTTATGTAAGGAAATAATAAAAACTTTAAAATGTAAAAAAAAAATCTAAGCTCTACATTTGCAGACTTAGATTAACCTAAAGGTAATTATCAGTTGAAAGGCATACACTTATTTATTAGCAATCAAGTGATGTAACGAGGGGTGAAGTATGTTTCATTTATTTAAGGTTGCATAAAATAAAGGTGACTGTTCTGTACTTTGTACCTTCTCTAAGAACATCTGATGGAAACATTAACTGAGCCTTCTAGCTCATCCTCTGCTAAGAGGAGCTATTTATAAAAATTAAAAAAAATACCCACCCTGGCTCAGTTGGTTGAGCGTTGACCCATGAACCAAGAGGTCCCCAGTTCGATCTCTGGTCAGGGCACATACATACCCGGGTTTCTGGCTCAATCCCTGGCAGGGGCCATGCAAGAGGCAGCAATCTATGTTTCGCTTTCACATCAGAGTTTCTCTCTGTCTCTCTCTCTCTATCTCCCTCTCCTTTCCTCTCTCTCTAAAAATCAATAAAAACATAATTTTTAAAAATACCCAAACACTTAATACATAGTCCAAAATCACAAATTTAGATTAGATTTTCAACAGCCAATTAGGTTTTCATATGTGCCAAACCAAATTCTTAATTAACAAGGTTTCTGTGTCTTTTTAGAGATAAATAATTGGAATAATCTCGAATAGTGTAAAATTTAAAACGAAAGGATCATTTGAAAATTACCATAGTTTATTTTAGATCTCTGATTTTGGAAAGAGATAAGTCTATGGCACCTGTTTATCTGCTCCTGCTAAATATTTAACATCATAAAATTAGTTTTTGACACAAAATTATCATTATTATGTTAAGCATAAATTAGTCACAGATAGTCCTAACCTGTTTGGCTCAGGGGATAGAGATATTAAGAGGTAATTGGCTTCAGTTATATTGCTCATTAAAAATACCCTTCGGACTCAAGGGTCCCAGGTTCGATTCCAGTCAAGGGCATGTACCTTGGTTGTGGGCACATCCCCAGAAGGGAGTGTGCAGGAGGCAGCTGATAGATATTTCTCTCTCATTGATGTTTCTAACTCTCTATCCCTCTCCCTTCCTCTCTGTAAGAAATCAATAAAATATTTTTTAATAAAAAAAATTAGTCACAGATAGCTGAATTCATCTTGATATAGTTATAATCCTCCCAGACAAATGTGTATTAAAAAGCCTAGTCAACTACAATGTAAAGTTAAAGTATATTCAAACAACTGAACAATAAAAGATAAGTTATATTATCTTTGCTTTCCTTTTCTAGAGAAAAAAGTATACAAATTTTCCCCAATAAGTTGTCTATAGTCTCTTCACAAATGTTAGGTCCTCCCAGGTTTCATTGATCTGTGATGCATGGTGGGGGCAATGACAGCACCAAGGAAGCAGGCGGGGCCCTAGGCCTGGTTAGACATGGTTAAATAGCCAGAGCACATTCATTCATGATCTTCATTCCACTTATGAGCTCAATTTCTTGTAAGGACCATCCGCTAGTGGTGAGCTTTTAACATTTATGTGCCCTAATGCCAGTTTTACTCATGACCCATGACTACAGCACCATTTCCTAGCCAACTAAAATAAAAGGCCTGCATGCCAAAGAGCTGCAAATACAGCTCAGAGCAATTTTAGCTCCCAGGGCCACAGAGGGAGAGAAAACCCTTCTTTGTCAATTCTTAAGAATGTACCAGCAAAGCCCTGTTAAAGTGAGTAGTTCTCCACTTTTCTTCCAGTTGGCAACTTGACCAGTGATGTAATAGATCACAGCTTCAGCTTTCCTAATCATGTTTTAGCTACTTTTTATTCCAATGTAGCGCTTCACTGTAAGATTGTTTGCTATAGGACAGTACAACAAAGGTAGCAAGAGAAACTTCTCCCACTGTGCTGTGAAAGAGAATTGTGTCCACTTGCAAGGCACAAAGTATATTCAGAGTGCTATGAATTTTTTTATTGATTTTTAGAGAGAGGAATAGAGAGAGAAGTATCCATCAGTTGCCTCCTGCACGTGCCCCAACCAGGGATTGAACCCACAACCTGGGTATGTGCCCTGACCAGGAATTGAATCTACCACCTTTTGGTGTAAGGGACAATGTCCCAAACATCTGAGCCACACCAGCCAGGGCCAGAGTGCTATAAATTTTTAAGACTTAATATCAATTGTTTTGTTATTCTAGTTTCTTATGGTATAAACATTTTAAGTAATTCTACCTGAATTTAATATTGTCTTATAAAATGTTTGCATTGCTGCTTCTCTTTCTTTAGACTTAAAATGTGTTCATGTTAGAAAATAGGAAATAAATTGAATTTCTTTCTCTTTGGGGAAATTAACAATTTTAAAATTCATGTAGTATAGGATTTTAATGCCAGAAAACCAGTATTTGGGAACTATTCAGTAATCTCACCCCACAACTATACAAATGTATTTCTTAATGCAGCAATTACTTACTGAGTATCTCATTATGTGCCAGGCACTGTGCTCCTGCTGGGGGCCAACTGTTGGGCCAAATCAGATACAGCCCCTGTTCTCATGAAGCTTACAAGCTAGTGAAGGAGGCAGCTATTAATCAAATAATAACAGATGTAATGACATAGATTGTATCCACCAGAAATTATGAGAAAATGTTTGAAGCAAGAGAACCATACTTTGCATTGTCTCAGGTGGAAATGATACGTTTAGGACCATAGAGCTGCCAGGTCTCCCACCCGCCCGAGAGTGGTCTAGTGTGGGCCACAAGGGGGAGAATGAACATTATGTGCAGGTGGGAGATGAGGCGGCCTGGCACTTCGAAAGGGGGAAGAGGAAAAAGTAGTAGCAGGTGCCAAGAAGTCTTCTTGAATAGAAGAGGAAAGAACTTTTCACTGGTCATGAAATGACAGGGGAAAGGGAAATGCTGTTTTGAGAAAGATTCCCGTGGGGTTTGCTATGCCCACCACTTGACTCCCTCTAGAAACAAGACTGTGCACTGAAGGCCTACATCGTTTTCCCAGGCAGGGACAGTTGCATTTGCTTTTCCTCTGAGTACCTCAATGCAGCTTCATATACACGCTGGATCATTTGTTCAAATGTTTTCACAGAAGACTATATAATTGTGAGATAAATATTGTGAAGGAGAGAGACCTAGTGCTATTGAAACACTAATAGGAAAACAAAACAAAAAACCCTGACCAAAAAAGACTTGTCCGAGGAAGTGGCATTTAATCTGAGAGCTCAAATAAGGCTGGAGTTGCCTCGGTGAGGTGGAGGGGTGTTCCAATAAAACAGCGTGTGCATGTGCGAGGGTTCTGAAACAAGAGGATGAAACTCTCCCACAAGGTCAGTGTGGCTGGAGTCGAGTGGAGGAACAGGGAGAGAATACACTCCAGGCAAAGCTGGAGAGAGGGGCCCGGAACCTGCAGAGCCTTTGTCGAAATGTCAAAGATTTTAAGTTCCTGTCCCAACAGTAGTGAATGCCATTAAAGTGAATGCCATTCAACAGTAGTGAATGCCATAACGAGAATTTCACTTGAAACAATCACTTGAGCTTCAATGTAGACGAGAAAATCAGCTGGAAAGGGAGAAGAGATGATAGTCCATTTAAAGTGGCAGGAGAGACGTGGACAGAATCAAGATGTTTACAATGAACCCAAGTGCTAAAAAATCTGTTTGATCAGAGGCCCATGTTTGGCAGGTTATGTGTGGACCAAAGAAATGATGAATCCAAGGATCACACCTAAATTTCTGGTCTGAAGAACGGGATGGAGGGAGTGACTCTGAGTTGGGGAAGACTAGAAGAGGCCAGGTGTATGGAAGGCGATTCACACACTGAGAGACAAACTTGGAGTTTGAGGTGCCTGTAAATCCCAAGCAGAGATCTCAGCTAGGGGTCTGTGTGCTTGATGCCAAGGGCATGGCTGAAACATACACTATAATAAAAGGTTTTCAGAGCATAACTATGAACTGCTCTTGTTTCTTTCACCTACCTCCCCAATCTGTCAAAAACAAAGTCAATGGCTTGGAGCAAACGTTGCTTATTTTTACACGTTCACCCTGCACTAAAATTATTAAAGGAACGCCTCGCTTTAACTTAGTACCACCATACATTCATTCACTCGATGGAAAATATTTGTAACTAGGGAAAACTTATGTGGCCAATTCCGGAACAAAAGAATACAGAATGTGTGAATGAATGTACTAGTATACACATATACTTTGATCTGTAAATGGAAAGAAAATTCTCTACCATAATTATGACCAAGACTTGTTACCTTCTTTTTCCAAAACCACATCTTATTCAAGTGGCCAGAAAGAGCGTTTTTAATGGAGTGACATTTCACTGTTACTAAACTGGTTTTCTTTCTCAACAGGTGATTTTTTATGTATCTCTTGAGTAAATGGTGTTCAACTTCGTTACAATCTGGGTGACATAACTGTCATTCTAGAAACTCTCCAAAAAGTAAGTACTAATGGAAGCAGTTGGCATGTGATTAAAGCAGGAAGAGTCGGTGCAAAAGGCCACCTGGATCTGGATGGGATAAATGTAACAGAGAAGGCCGACGTTAACATTAGCTACCTGGACACAAACACTGACTTCTATATTGGAGGAGTGTCTTGTAAATCCCATGGCAACAGCCAATGCACTGGTAGGTTTTCAAGGTTGTGTCCGAGAAGTTATAAATAATCAAGAATTACAATTAACTGAACTAGGAGCGAAAGGTGGCTCAAATGTAGGTGACTGTGATGGGACAGCCTATGGGTACACCGTGTGCAGAAATAGGGGTGAATGTATATTAAATGGCACTTTTTTGTGCAGATGTCCGCCACACTGGACTGGAAACACATGTGACCCATCTGTGTACTGTTTGAATCACCTTTGTCTCCACCAATCTCTGTGTATACCTGACTGGCCGTTCTCTTACAGTTGTGTCCTTTGGGTTGGGTGGGAAGGTTTTGTGAAAGCAAAACTTCATTTTCAACTGCAAAATTTATGGGTACTTCTTACATTAAACATATTGATCCACACTATAGAAAAAGAAACCTCCAGCTCACTACTGTATCCTTAAATTTCAGTACTACTGAAAGAGCTGGCTTAATTGTGTGGATAGGAAAAGCTCAAAATGAAGAAAGTGATTTTCTGGCAATTGGTCTCCATAATCAGACTTTGAAAATAGCAGTTAACTTAGGAGAATGCAACTCTGTACCGATGATTTATAGCAATGGTACATTCTGTTGTAATAAATGGCACCATATCATTATAAGTCAAAAATCAAACTCTTATTAAGGCCTTCCTAGATGGCAAGCTAATTCTCTGAGGATATTGACCCACACAAAAAATTTGTTGCTCTGAACTATGATGGTATTAGTTACCTAGGGGGTTTTGAATATGGTCAAAAGATAAACATTGTTACTCAAGAGATTTTTAAAAGAAATTGTGTTGGTAAAATTAAAGATGTATTTTTTCAGGATTCAAACAAACGAGTTAATTGAATCAGAAGGGTACAATGTTTATGATGGAGATGAACACAATTAGGTTACACAAACGTATAGTGGTTACTTTAATATACTATTTATGTAAATGTAGTTGCTTTGGTAGTTATTTCTTTAGCACATTATTTTGCTGAAAAACAACTGTTTACTATTATCTGAAATAGTCTAAATGCTAACACTTTTATAAGCTTATATAGCTAAAGAAAGATTCTGGTTGTTTTTCCGACATCCAATTTATCTGTAAGTATGTTGATTGCTAAATTTTTACTCCATTAGTTCATTCATTAGTTCATTTAGTGTTATTCATCTGTGAACTTTTTTAAAATAAAATTTAGGTGGGAATGAATTATTGATATACACAAAGAAAAAATAAGCAAATGTTATTAAAAAGAAAATTACATAAGGAAATATTCTGTTACATAGCTCAGCTCTAAATATTCACATGATCGGCAATGTGAAGTTTGAATATTGACTTAAAAATTACATGAATGTGGGAAGGTGGAAGGTGGGGAAAGGAGTTGGCTGGTGAGAGCTAAATCCTTATCTTCCACATTAAGTCATCAATAAATATTGGTTTTTATAACTATTTTTAAATAGCACATAAATATCACTTACAAATATGAAGGCAAATATCCTAATGTGTAAAATACTGAAGGTCAAGTCTACATGTCTCAAAATTGGGCAGAAAAAGAGGTTCTAAATAAAGCCATTGTAAATTATTTTCTTGATATCTGTACTGTTAAAGGATAACTTGAGAAACTCAGTTTTGCCCAGTATCAGTGATGGATATAATTGTGAATAGCATTTCCACCCCACCTGTACTCCACCACCATTATTGCTGTTGTTACTTAACGTTTTGTTTGATATTTATAATAATTTTGCCAATGACAACACAGGAAAGCAACTGACAACACATGACTGATAGAAAGCACTAATAGACAGGACTGTGGAGCAGAGAACTTAGTAACAATCAGCATGTGGCGTTTAAAAGGAAAAACAGTAATTATCTGTTAAACGGAGACTTTACAAAGAGGACTGGTGCAGTTTAACGTCTTAATGCAAAATCTGCCTGCATGGGCTCCAGCCTATACAAAGACACTAGGTAAGTCATTTGAAGAACTTTACAGGTAATTTTTTTTAGCCTTATTTTTGCAATCAGAAAGCGATAGACATTCTTGGAAGGCCCTAGAACTAAAGTTGAGAACTTTGGCACTATTGCTGCCAGACATACCATTCTTATTAACATTGAAAAGTGTGTGAGCAAAATAGGAGGTGGGATTCCAGAATGGCTATATATTGATTCAAAGAGGCTTTTGTTTTTAAAAGAAACCACAACTCTACCCAGTGTTTGTTTTGTTTGTTTTTAAAAGAAACCACAACTCTACCCAGTGTTTCCTGAAAAACTCAGACCTTTATCTGTTTTGGTCCATACCACTTCATTTCACTCTTGAGATATTAAGATCATAAGGATAATTGCTCTAAAAAACTTCCTTGATAGTGATAATGAAATCTAACTTTTAAAGATACACATCTTATGGCAAGAAAGCTGTTAAGCCATTCTTTTCTCTATTGTTGGCATTATTTTCCTTAACATCTAAACATACTTACTATGGCAGTGATGGCGAACCTTTTGAGCTCGGCGTGTCAGCATTTTGAAAAACCCTAACTTAACTCTGGTGCCGTGTCACATATAGAAATTTTTTGATATTTGCAACCATAGTAAAACAAAGACTTATATTTTTGATATTTTATATATTTAAATGCCACATAACAAAGAAAAACCCAAAAAATGAGTTCGCGTGTCACAGGTTCGCCATCACTGTACTATGGCCTTAGATGTTTTGTAACTCCCAATTTTTAAGATTAATTCACCCAAAACTGAGCTACAATTAGTGAGTCAAGAGCTGTGATGAGTGGAATGGCCCCCAAAGTTGTCCACATCCGAATACCTGGAACCTGTAAATATGTTAGATTACATGGCAAAGGGGAATTAAGGTCACAGATGGAATTTAGGTTCCACCTTGGATTAGCTGGGTGGGCCCCAGGAATCACAACAGTCCTTTAAGGTAAAGAGGGAGCCTCAGAGACAGCAATTTGAGACTCAGGCCCATGTTGTTGGCTTTGAAGATGGAGGAAAGAACCGTAAGGCAAGGAAAGTCCGTGGCCCCTGGAAGCTGGAAAAAGCAAGAAAATGGATTCTCCTCTAAGCCTCCAGGAAATGCACCCTCTGAGACATCTTGATCTCAACCCACTGAGACCCACAGCAGACTTCTGATTTACAGCAGTGTTAAGAGGATAATAAGGGCTGCAGAATTAGGATTTGAGATGAAAATAAACTTTATAAATCTGTACAAGAGAACCCACAAGTTTTTGGTTACTTTTGAGGAATGGATTGCTCTGTAAAGGGTTTCAGATAGCAGAATGGGGAGGAAAGGGCTGGGAAAGGTATATAATAACCAGGCTTGTCCCTCTCTCCTGCTCTCAATTCTCAGAGCACAGCTGCCACACATAATGACTTTGGAGAAAAATAGAACTGAGCTAGAATCCCAGCCCTGATCACAGCAGTCTAACCTTTCCAAGCACCAGTTTCCTCGGTTCTAATATAAATCTCTACCTTTCAGGCTGAACAAGGTTTACATAAAGCACTCGGCACAAGGTTTGCAATAGAGGGTTTGTGGAGGCTTTCTTGTTGCCACAAAGGGTGGACTTTATAGGTACTGAGACACCCTGGTACATTTTATTTCAACAGAGGTATGTATAAAACTGTCTGGCATCAAACTTTTCAAAGAGCAAGTTTTTCTTAAAACAGGAGAAGTAACGATGAACTTCATATAACTCGCTAGTTTGTAGAAGGCTGGCTTTGAGACTTAAGGACAGAGAATGGCTTTGGATCTACTACTCATTGAAAACTTTTATTTCCCCCTACATTCCTCAGAAGTTAAAACCTTAGAGTCCATATGTCCATACTCTCCCTACTTGCCAGTTTCAGTGAACCAGGGGTTAGGAGACATGGTTCGAATCCTTAGTAGTCCCATAATCCCAGGAGATGGTTATCACTAATAGGGGCCTATAGAGGATGTGACAAGATCCAATGAGATAAGAATAAATAACTTTAAAGTAAGCATCACAACAATGTGTGTAAGGAACTAGTTAAGAGGCAAGCAAAACTGACTTTAAGGTTTTCTTCACTGGTTAACCCATTCTTGTACTTTGCAAAAAAAAATCTGATGTCTGAACAACCTCCTACCAGATCAGTAAAATCAGATTTACTAAACAACATACATATTTGAAATCAAAAGGCTAATTTTGGAGGATTTGGGTTGGGTGGGGTTTTTTTTTTGGGGGGGGGGAGTGGCAGGGGGAATTCCTGACAATTTTTTCCTGATTGTGCAAAAGATGACCCACCAAATTAAGTTTTGTTTACAGTTTTTAAATAAGTTAGTTTCCAAAAGAAAAGCAGACCAAAATTAAACAAATTTTATTTAAATACAAGTCCTCTGTTTCAGAACTTTTATGATGAAAAACTTCAGAGAATAAGGATGACAAAAAATATGCAAATTGTTGAAATTAGACAAAATGTATGGTTTTGAATTTCCACTCCTTCTTTCGCTAGAGAGAATAACAAAGTTGATTCCATTTCAAACCTATTTTTAACTCTAATCCTTGGACATTTTAGGAAATCAAACATTACCTTCTTAATTTTGTGAAGCCATTTATATTTTTCTTCATTAATATAGGTAAGTAAAAATACCGGTTTCTCTTTTTTTTGTTGGCCTCAAGTATTAATCACGTGGTAGCCACTGCTTTAAATTATGTCAATACATGTGTAGTTTAAATTGTAAATAACTTTATATTTGAATTAACAATAGCCTCCATATGCTTTCTATTTCAAGCAAAACTGCAGTTACCTCCAAAACAAATTAGGGTTAATTACACATTTTACAAAGAGATTCACAACACGTTTCTCGTAAATTTCTGTAGTCTCACCATGATTAGTCAGCGTACCAAATTTTGAGAGTGACAAGTCTTCAGAAACATACCTATGAAGTGGGCTATTTGCTGCAGTTTTTCATTGGTAGTTCAAAATTCTACCCCTTCAGAACATGATTTTTATCAGAAACCTCTAATAGGTGAGGTTTTTCCCTTCACCCAATGCCTGACACAGATGGCTATGCTTGTATGTATGTTCTTGGCTGAGTAAAAAAAAAAAGTATGAAAGTAATCAAAGTTTTAGAGAAGAAATTCTTTTACTGAATTTCAAATCACACACACAAAATAGGTGAGAAATTCTTTTTATCATATTTAGAATCAAAATATCCCTTAAAATATTTACATTTTACAGTAAAAAGGATAGCAAAACACAAGATCATGTACAAGCTTAAGTATTCAAGTTCCTGAAGAGGCAAAAAGGAAAAGGAAACTACTGGTCTACCACAAAGCTGTCATATACAAGGTAATAAATGCCTTCAGGGAGTGCAGATTAAAGCAGTAAATGTTCTCCTTGGGCTTCTGATTCTTGATCAGAAACTGCCCAATAAACTGATTAATATAATCTGATTATGAAGTTGCTTGTCTTTGTGTTGCTTCTCTAGTTTCTTTAAAAACAGTGCAATTTAAAACAAACTTACAGAGTACACATTACTCTCAAATTAGTCATAAAGAACATTCACTAGAGGCAGTAAATATATTCCAGAGTTAACTATATTTACCAATTAAGGAATAAAACTAAAATTTCTAAGCCTTTATTGCATATTAAACAAATCTTTGAATATACAGCAATGTAAAACTTTTAAAAATATTCCTATAACTAGGACAGTTGGTATGAAGAAGGGACGATGAGCACTGGTACAGAGCACTCCGCACCAACACATGGAATTTATTGTTCTGCAAACCACCAATAGTAAGTCTGAAAGATGGCACAATCCTAGCAGGCAATCAAAGTTTTTTAAGATGCAACATTTAACAATGACTTAAGAGTAATCTTGAAGCAGCTGGCAGATTTTACCTTTTGCTTTTAGCTCTGTCAGTGTGGTCCCTATCTTTGTGGTACCTATCTCTGTCCTTTTCTCCTTCTCTATGTTTACTTTTCTCTCGTTCTTTGTCCTTTTCATGGTCTTCACTTTTAGGTTTGTCTGGTTTCTTACCATCTCTGCTTGCTTTTCCATCTGCTCCGCGATCACTGTGTGACAACCGTGGCCTCTCTTTCTCTTTGTGCCCTTCCTCCCTGCTTTTCCTGTCTCTGTCCTTGTCTTGGGATCTGTCCCTGCGTCTATGCCTTTCAGATTCTTGCTCCCATTCCTTTTCATGTCGCTCCCTCTTCAAGTGGTGTGAATCACTATAAAATCTCTGGCGATCCCCTTTGCCCCTGTTAAATGACCTATCCAGTTGCTGTTGGTCTTGCCTATTACCCCAAGGGTCACTATGGCGCCTTTCTGGTCTTCGAATATCTTTAGCCTGGTAAAAATTTTGTGGGCCTACATATCTTGATGTTTGTGAAAGGGGACCCATCATACGCTGAGGTTGGCCTGTCAGGTGAACAGGTGGCCAGGGAACTATGGGATTTTGAGCAAAGCCAAAGCCGGGAGGGGGGAGTAATGGGGGTGGCAAATGTGGTGGAAATCCAAACATGCCTTGTGGGGGAAAATTAGGAGGCCCCGGAAATGGAAATCCAGGGGGACTAGACTTGAGATGCTGAAGGTTCGGTTGCTGTGGCCTCATGGGTGAAAAGTTTGCACTTGCTCTGGGACTGCTGCTTCTGGAGGTAAAGTTGATGCTTTTAGAAGGAAATTCTGATTGACTTGTGTTTTCAACTTCAAAATGAGATGTTGCTGCCGATCCTCTTCGAAACGGGTGCACAGTTTCAATATTTTGCATTGAAATATTCTCCTCTGAGGGTTTTGCTTGTTCTGTTTGCAAAGTGTGTTTGTCTTCTGATGCCAAGTTTTGTGCAACCCCTGAATTATCACTCTGCTGAGCACTTGAGTTTTTCTCTACGGAAGACAACTTTTCCTCTACATTGGTGTGTTCTGGTAAGTGCTCCTTGTGTGACGGCCCGGGCGGGGTGTGCTTTTCTCCATTCCCACAACTATCTCCTTCTTTGCTTTCTGAAGAAGTTACCTGCTGACTTCGTCCTGCTGCCTGCCTAGGATCCCTTTTTAGATTGATAAACTGTGGGGACTTGGCTGTGTTGGCAACAAGGTTTTCACTGCCACTCACACTACCCTCTGTGTTTCCTTTTCCTATATTCGACCTGCATGGAGAACTAGTATCTGAAGTCTGATTATCTTGCAAATTATTCTCTTGATCTTGCAGCAGCTGTCTTTTTAATGGTCTCTCTTTACTCTCCACAGCTTCCTCTTGTTTTGACTGAATGGATAAATTTGTTAGGAAAGCTTCTGTAGAAACATCTGGTGGTTTGCCTCTGAGACTAAGACTCGCCGAAGGTCCAGGAGAAATGGAGGAGGGCCCCGTTACTGGGGTTTCTTCGTCTACTTGTACTGAATTACCTAAAGATTCTGAAAGATTATCTACTTTACCCTTGACCTCCTTAGCTTCACCATCCATTGCTTCTACTTTATCTACGTTCTCTGCTTTGGGGTCAGCTTGCTCACTGATAAATGGAATTTCGTTGATAGTGTTTTGTTCTGTCACTGACTGAGCCTGTTCATATACTTCACCAGTAGTGCCCAAAAGGCTCTGAAGTATGTCGTCCACAGGAAGAGGCTTATTTGCTAATTCCAGAGTGGAAGGCTGATTTTCCCAGCCAATCAATACTCCAGGAAGGAATCTTAAAGGTTTTGGTGGCTCCTGTTTGGTGACTTCCACTAAAGGTTCCACTACAGCTGGAAGGTCTTCTTGAACAGCTTGCTGAGGCTTAGTTCTCTGCTTGTGTAATACAGTTGTGAAAGAATTGAAAAAGTCATTTTCTTCCTCTGGTGCCTCCTCTGTGGAAACTTCCATTTTACTTTTTTTTTCAGGTGGCAATGCTACCGGTACACTTTCAGAGTTCTCAGCAGTATGGCTGGCACTAGCACTGTGTTGCCGCTTCAGTTTTTGGCGAATAATTAAGCCCAACAACAGATTAGGTCTATGCAGTTCAAGCCCTGCATAAAAAACATATAAATTAAGTCACTTTCAATTCCTAAAATAAAGGGTAAATTGCCCTGGCCGGGTAGCTAGTTGGGTAGAACATCATCCCAATATGCCAAGTTTGTGGGGTTGATCCCCAGTCAGGGCAATAAGAATCAGCCTCTGAATACACAAATAAGTGAACAACCAATGGATCTCCCCCACACCCCCGTCTCTCTAATATCAATAAAAAATATATAGACATAGAACAAAGTGTAAATGTTTGCATCTAGCATATTACAGCCTATTAAGTGGGTGTCCTTCCCTGTCGGGTCACCTCCAGAGACCTGGATCCCAAGACAACAAGCAGAGTCAGTTTTTTCACTCTGGTCCCACCTCCCACTTTGTTTTATTCACTCTATTAAAATATATACCTACCAGGTCCATCAAAAGGCACGAGAGGGTGTGGAATTTTATCTGTGGCACCCAAAGGAATAAGGTACATGTCTTTAACCTGCTTCATGTTGTTAGCAGCTACTCCATAGCGTTTTCTGCTACTGAAGTATGCAAACAGCAAAGTATAAGAAATTTGATCTTCTTCAGTTACAGGTGTGAAGCGAACCACACAAATTTCCTGTTCAAGAAAATAAATGGTTGTTTAAAATAATGACCTAAACGATAGCTTGCTTTTAAATACCATTTCTCAGCCAGTTGAGTTGTATGATGATGATTACCAAATAACGTGGTATACCAACTTAAATGTAGAGAAGAATATTAAAACAACTCTTGGGAAAAGGTCTTTGTTGACCCATTGATGGACTTACTGAAGGCATCCCATAAGAAATTACATCCCAAGATAATGTGTTCAAAATGACACACTTCTCAGTGGCAGAGATTTTTAAACCCAAATCTTTCGATATCGATACTATATCCTTATTTCCAATGTTACAACCTCCACTGGGGGCTGCCTGTATTCTCAGCATACAGCAAATTAATAGCACCTACCATCACCACCCTACCATGTACACATACCCACAAATTCACTGATAATCCAATCTACAGGGACTGAATTTAGGAATAAAGGGACTAGGTGAAAAGACCTCAAATGCACATAGGCCATATATTTTGGAAAATCATTTGGTTTACTCAGGTACCAATGTGCTTGCCTCTGGGTTCTTGGCTTTGTTTCAGAGAAAAGAGTCCCAATTTGGTAGTGTGAAAAAAAAAGGGGGGGAGATTCTTTTTCACGAAGGTATACTGTCAAAATGGGGAAAGCTAGATCTGTTACAAGCTTAAATTGATGCAGATCCTATAGAAAACATGTGAATGAGCTGAACTATGGCTCTACCTCTTATTAAAAGTCTATCATCTAAACTGTCCTTTTAGAGGTAACAACTAATATAATGTTTTAGTCAGTTCAAGATGGAGGCATAATATACAGTGTTTGGCAGTAATATATGAATAGATCAAGAGGGATTCCCAAAATGTGTAAGAGTAATACTACTTACTACCCAATACTTGCCCATGACTTTTGCTGTCATGAAAAAGTGACAGCAAAAAAAAGTAGTTAATTTTTTTAGAGCTTCAAAGTTCAAATGTATTCTAATACTATCAGTTTCAATTCTAAAATCTATATTGGAAAATATTCTTTTTAGCTTCAGATCCATTTTGGATTACTTCTAATCTTACTAGAGACTTCTTATTTTAAGAGAAAGATAAAAAAATTGTTTGCTTACTCAAAATTTATTTTTTAAATGTCTATAATATGCTATGTACTATCATCCTTGGAGGGAGAAACAACTTCTTCTAATGATTAATTTTTCCTTTTTAGTACTGTTCTATGAATTAAAGAAATGATAAAAAAATTAGAAATTATTGTTAAGTGGCTACTAATGATCTCCTAGTATCTATTCCCCTCTTTTCCTATTATAAAGAGAAGCCCTTAACTTTTAGCTAGCACATGGCCAACCGATACTACATTTCCAGCCTTCTTAGCAGCTATATGACTAAATCTTACCAATGGAAGGTAGAGGAAGTGAAATGATACTTGCAATTTCTAGGTTGGACAGGCACTGGCCAGTGTGGCTCAGTTGGTTGGGTGTTGCCCCGTGCACCAAGAGGTTACTGGTTCAAATTCTTCATCAGGGGTATATGCCCAGATTGTGGGGGTGAGGTTGAGGTGGGGGAACAGAAGGCAGCCACTCGATGTTTTGCTCTCACATTGATGTTTCTCTCTCTCTCTCAAAAAATCAATACAAATTTTTTTTTTAAATAACTGGACAGGCATTCTTCATTTTTGTCACTGGTGCTGCAGATAAGTCAGCTCTGACCATGCTTGACTGATAAGGACAACACTCTTAGAACCAGCAAAGTAACGAGAGAAGAGGCTGGTCCCTGAATAATTTGTAGAACCAGAGCCGCTGAAGCACCCTGAATGAATGGCCTTCCTAACATAATAAAAAAATAAACTTTTTTGCCAAAACCGGTTTGGCTCAGTGGATAGAGAGTCGGCCTACGGACTGAAGGGTCCCAGGTTCGATTCCGGTCAAGGGCATGTACCTGGGTTGCGGGCACATCCCCGGTAGGAGATGTGCAGGAGGCAGCTGATCGATGTTTCTCTCTCATCGATGTTTCTGACTCTCTATCTCTCTCCCTTCCTCTCTGTAAAAAATCAATAAAATATATTTTAAAAAAATATAAATAAATAAATAAACTTTCGTATTTTTGAGGCATTATATTTTAGGGTTTTAGCCTATGCTCTCACTAAAACAAATGTCTATAATCAAAGAAAGGTAAAATTCCAGGATGAATCTCAATATTTACTCTAAAACATTTCTTCCAAAACATTGAGGAAGTCATTGAGAAAGCACATCAGGAAGGGAAAAAAAGAACACAAAAGGGATAATGGGCTGTTCTGAGCTTTAGCAAATGGCTTTAGTTCAGTTTTGTCAACCACATTATTTAGATTTAGAATTCGTACTGGTTCCCTCCCCAGGGGACCTTGCATAAGAACTCTTAGTGGTTTACTTTCCAAATACTCTCTCAAAGTTTTCCTTACCTTGGTTCCTGATGCTTTAAGTTTTTCCACATAATCCCAAACTGTCTGAGGTGATATCCTGCCACCTACTTGAATACTATCTGGTAGATCCTGTGGTAAAAATGAAGGTGATTAATGTGTAAACATATTTATTATAATCATAGCTCATACAAATTTAGCTCTATGACTAATTTGAAATAGTAATATAAAATAAGTAAATAAAAAGATTGTGCAACTGCATCATCAGAGAACAAGAATGCAGACAGTAATTAGGCTTTACCTCAACTGTCAGTTCCAAATGAATTAGGTGGATACCCAAAATACAGTTAAACAATCTGAGGTCATGTTCATTTTCAGAAGGAAAGAGAAATAGTGGAAAACATTGACAATCCAGGAAAAATGCTTCAGAATATTTCAGAATATTAGGGGAGACTGTTTTTTCCCCTCACATACATCTGCCCGCTTATTTGGTGGTAGTGGGCAGGGGTATGCCTTAATCATTAAAAGCTGATGTTTGATTATAGTATACATTTTTGCACAGAAAAAAATATCACTGTAATAACATAAGGTTCACTTTTTTTAAAGGCACAATTTTTCTGAAAACAATTACAAATAAAATCAATTAAGAATATTTAAAACTTTAATCAGAATACTACTTTTTCCATGGACTCAAAAATCAAAAAGTATAATTAATGGATATTAAATTCAATTAAATTTATTAATTGCTTTAAATATTTTATTTGGGGTTGTTGTCCCAACCAAACTAAAAATATGAAGAAAGCAGAAGTGGAGTTCTAGAAAGCAATCACATAGAAAACGGCTCATCACCCTGGCCCAGTAGCTAAGTTGGTTAGAGCATCGTCCTGATATACCAAGTTTGAGAGTTTGATCCCCGTTCAGAGCACATACAAAAATCGACCAATGAATGTATAAGTGGAACAAACTGATGTTTCTCTCTCTCTCTAAATCAGTGGTTCTCAACCTTCCTAATGCCGCGACCCTTTAATACAGTTCATGTGTGGTGACCCCCAACCATAAAATTATTTTCGTTGCTACTTCATAACTGTAATTTTACTAGTTATGAATCGTAATGTAAATATCTGATATGCAGGATGTATTTTCATTGTTACAAATTGAACATAATTAAAGCATAGTGATTAATCACAAAAACAATATGTAATTATATGTGTTTTCCGATGGTCTTAGGCGACCCCTGTGAAAGGGTCGTTGGACCCCCAAAGGGGTCGCAACCCACAGGTTGAGAACCGCTGCTCTAAATCAATAAATAAAAATTTAAAAAAAGAAAATGGCTCAGAAAATAGAATAATAGTTTTGTTTAAAATCTAAAGGGTTCCATAGTTCAGGACTTAATTCTCCATTTAAAGGAAGAGGGATCTTCACATTGGACTGTTCAAAAACTAAGTTTCTAAATAGATATGTTCAAAAAGAAGAGCATCATGGGTCCACTTAATCTTTCTCATATAAAAGTGACAAACCATACATAAAAATAATTATTCATTAACAAAAAACACAACCGCTAAACAAACTGATCAATATCAGATAATCAACATTACACTGAGTTAAACTAACTTCAGCCTAATACAAAGAAAAGTAAAATTTATGATAGTTTTAAAAAGAATAAACATAGCCCTGATATGGTATGGCTCAGTTGGTTGGAACATTGTCCCACATACCAGAAGGCTTTGGGTTCGATTTCTGATCAGGGCACATAACTAGGTTGCAGTTCAATACCAAGTTGGGGCACGTATGGGAGGCAACCAATTGTTTATCTCTCATATTTATGTTTCTCCTTCCCATCCTCTCTCTAAAGTCAAGAAAAAGCACATCCATGGGTGAGAGAAAGAACCCCCCTCACCCCCCGCCCCCAAAAAAGAACAAGCGCCCAGCCAGAGTGGCTCAGTGGTTGAGCATCGATCCGTGACCCAGGAGGTCTCGGTTGGATTCCCAGTCAGGGCACATGCCAAGTTGTGGGTTTGATCCCCAGTAGAAGGGAGGTGCAGGAGGCAACCAACTGATGATTCTCTATCATTGATGTTTCTATCTCTCCCTCTCCCTTCTCCTCTCTGAAATCAAAACATTTTTTACAAGCATATATATGTTTAGGCTTCCTGAATTACTGAAGAATTAAATTTCTTTTAACTTTTGCCTTTATGATCAGTGGACTGAGAATGGAAAAGGTTAATGTCAGATATGAACATGATTAATAGAAAAATATACAGTATAGGAGCATTGATATATTTTCCTCCTGCATAAACATGAAAAAAGCAAGCTTCAGTGTTTAAAAATTATACTTTCTCATTTATCATACTATATATAATACTACAGCTGTTTATTTTCCATAAACATTGCATCATAGTCCCTATTCCCTCAGATAAAAAACCAGCTAAGCTCTTGGACCCCTTCTCTCTTGCTGCTCGAACATGACTCCTGGCTTTCAGGGTTCTCAAGCTCCCATACACAACGGACTGATGGACTGGAATTAGTCTGATGCTATACTGGACCCAGCTTCGCCATGGAATGGAAACTTGGGACACTGGCTTTGCTTTTAGCTCTACTAAAGCCCCAGCTGCACCTTTTCCAGGACTGGTATAAGGGAAATGGGACTTTGAAAACCAAGGGTTATAATTTCACGCAAATAAAGCTTTCTACCACATCCCAAAAAATAAAAAACCAGTCAAGGATACCACTACAGCAACTACGATCATTGGTCTCATGGGAGTGTCAACGAGCTCTCGAGTTCCAACTACAGTCTATATCTCACTGACAGAAATAGGTAAGAACTGTAGTCATGAGTTGAGAAAGCAAGCAGTAGGAAAATTAGAAGGCTTGTTAACAATGAAAAATCTTCCTAGCTATAATATTTAAACAAAAATTGTACTTAACAAAATCTTAAATATCCATGCAGATTCTAACATGTGGATTTAACACTTTCAGAGCAGTTTTCTAGTTCTAAAACTCCATTTGGGAACTCATAATTCCATTAATTGAACGGTCAATGTCAATAAATATTTTTATTCTGAATAAAAATGAAATATTTTTATTTAACATTTTTATGATATTTATTATGTTGTTTCCTTGCCTACTGCTTTCAGAAACACATATGTCAAGAAAGGCAGAAAAGTTCAGTTACCTCTGTCAAGTACTCAGGGGAACCAGACACTGGGTAGGCTTTGGTAACAAATTTTGCAACAGAAGGCATGTTGATAAAACCTTTCCAGATGAAGTTCAATCGAGCCAAGAATGTAGACTCAACTTCAACAGTTCCAGGCATCTCTGGACTAAAAAGATGACATTAAAAAGTTTTCAGCCTAAAGATATGTTCATGAATAAATGTATTTTCTACACAGTCATCAATTATTTCTCTATTTTTACATGTCAAAAAGGCTAGAATATGTAAAAGCTATTGATTAAAATATTTATATTTTCACTTTATAAAATCATACTCATATTTACATAGTCATGCTTTACAATGTCATCCTTCTTAGTTGGCTTAGATAATGTCCACAGAAGTGCAAACAATTTTCCTTTAATGACCTTTCTCCTGCCTTTTGGCATGAACATAATTAAAGGCAGTTTTATAGTCAAGTCCTCACATATTCAAATCTCTAAATTAACTTTCCCAGTGTTGTTCTTTTATCTCAATTAATTTAGAGCATAGGGAGATACAATTACTTTCTCAAAAGAAAGGTTCCTAAAAAATATATCATTTTTCTGTTTTTGAAGACCTCCATGTGTAAGTTGGCAAATATTTATAATAATCGTTATAGGTTATATTAAGAGAAAATTACCGTGGAGCAGGAGAGAATGTTGACTTTGGAGACTCTTGTTTCTCTTCCTCAAAGAATTCAGAGGTCAAAATATTTGAGGTTGAAGACAATGCATCTGCTATACTTTCTGCTTCATTGTCTGAATGTTTACGAGATACTCCAACAACAACTTTCACCTTTTTTGGAGAAAGATCATCTACAGGTGGTGCCATTCGACCTAAAGCCAGAGACACCAAAATAAGCTATATTTGTAAACTGAAATTTGTGTAACTTTATTCATTTTTACTCCTAAAGTTATTCGGTTTCTCTGACTGAATTGTTGCATGACCATACATTTCCTGGAGTAAATTTTAATCATATAATCTCTCATACTGATCTACTATACCTCTCTGATTAATGTGAAAAATTAGATAAAAAAGGATGTTAAGCAGCTCAGACAAGCTGAAATGGAAATATAACTAGAACCTAAAATAGGTTTCGTGATACCCTAGCAAATTTTTTAAACTAAATGACACCAAATTCCAACAGTCTTCAGAAGTAACTTAAGAACTAAGTAAAACAAATCCATAGCCTACTTTGTGGTACATGAGTAGTTCATGTAACACATGCATAGTGCAGTACGACTTCATTACTAAACATGAAAAATATTAGTAAAGTTTAGAAAATGACAATGCTATTACATCAAAAAGCAAAAAAAAAAATCATTAAAACATTCAGAAAATAAGCCTAGTAGCATTAACCAATGTTTTGTGTGCTACCATTACCAAACAATTGCCATAAAAATATTTAAAATTAATAGAAATAACTAAAAGTATTTTTATTAAGATTTTTCCCAGATAAATGAACTGGGTATATTTAAATACTAGTAAACATCATGGATAGCTTTCTTTAGGGGTAACAATGTGTAAAAAAACACTCTGCCCTTTAGTCTTTACCACTGTACAGAGAGACTGTACAATTTTGGTAAGATATTTTTATTATAGGAAAATTACATAACTTATAATACATTTCATCTAGTCTCTAGTATAATGATGGAGAGCAACAATCAACTAACTTAAAAGACTTTTTCATGTTCTGAACAAAGTATCATTCCTTTAGTATACTACAGTAAAAATATAAACATTGAGAACTATTATCTCTAGAATAAACTGAATATAAATGTAAAATCTTCCTTAACACATCACCATTTCTTAGGCCCTAACTCCAGTCAATCTCCAACATGTGTTAATATTACTAACTTGGGTATTTTCTCAAAACCCCTACTTATTTCCATCTCCAATGCTACCACTCTAATTAAAATACCACCATCTCCCACTTGGACTCATCTATTCTTCCTCCATTCTGTTGACTTCTTCCACTGTAATCTCCAGGCAAAGTCAGATATATCTTCATAAAATTCCAATCTTATCAAGTCATTTCCCTTCTAAAACCATTAAGTCAATATCCACTGCTCTTAGGTAAAAAAACAAAATCTTTAATGTGGCCTACAAAAGTGGATTTTTCAGCATTTTTTATTATGATCTCTTTTTACAGCATGATCTATTACTCACTACAGGGGTATATGTACATGTGCTTATACCTTATAGATATGCGTGTATGTATGTCTGTATTTTTTGTTATATATATAAATTTGTTATATATAAATTTTTGTGCACTCGGGGGGGAGAGGGGGTCCCTCAGCCCTTCCTTCAAATTCTAGTCACTAGATTTTATTTCTACTATTAAGTTACAGTCTGCAGTTTGAAAAGCAATGGCTATAAGATACTATGAAATCTGATTTCTAAATATCTCTTCAAACAAATCATGTGCCTTTCTCTTTCTTGAATTCAAGTCAAGCTCATGCCATTCCCAGTAGAATGGTCTTTTCCTCTCTTTGCAGGCATAGTTCTCAACCTTCATGTCTCAGTGTAAATGTTAATTTCTCAGCCGAACCTCCCCTAACAATGCAATCTAGGCCAGGTCTTTCTGCTACCCAATACATTGATAACAACTGTACTTCTGTAACTCAAATCATCACCTGTCTGTCTGTTCCATTAGACTACAGTTTCTCTTAAAGCCTGGATAACATCTGTTTCACTACTACTATATTCCCTTCTTCCAGCAAAGTGCCTGGCAAGGAGTAAGAACTCAAATATTTATTAAATGAATGACCAAAAATACGAATATTAGAGAAGCCATAGCCCATTTGGCTCAGTCGATAGAATGTCAGTCTCAGGACTGCAGTGTCTGTCACAAGCTCAATCCCCAGCAGGGCACATGCAGGAGGCAAACCAATCAATGTGTCTCTCTCACATCGATATTTCTGTCTCTCCTCTCCCCTTCCATTCTCTCTTTAAAAAAAACAAAACAAATGGACACATATCCTCGGGTGAGGATTAGCAACAACAAAAAAAGAATACTAGAGAAAAAGGTAATTTCTGATGTTTCATTACATATAATACATTATGAATATTATTTCACTCCTTCACTTACTAAATGACAGTACCATCACCACTGCTCTCAATTTCGGAAGTCTATTGTAATGGTTAAATTTTAGTCATTTGACAATGAGTTGATAAGTTCAGATCTTATATAATACAACTGATTCTAGATAGTAAAGTACACAAGAGTATAAAATTGCATGCCAAGCCTGAAGAAGTCACACACAAAAAATGTGCTATTGCTCAAAGGGAGTAGGTAGGTGCTTCACCACCAATACTGGGAAAACAAAAATCTACTTAAATTATAAATACAAGTAACCCCCTTTCCAAGTGAAAGCAACATTTTAGGAAGAAAAATTTCCATTTACCAATGCAAATTTTGCAGTTAAGATCAAAAAGATGTTGTCTGTGTTGACTTGTGGTATCTTTAGACATAGAGTCAATCTCCTCCTTTTGTTTTTCAGATCCTTCGATCTTTTCCAAAGACTTGTTACCTGCAGGTTCCTAAAAGTTAGAGCAAAATTAGTTTTAACAGATAAAGTTTGGCCTCAATTAACATAAACTTTTATTTCATACTGGCATTTTTCTAAAATGAAACTGTTCCATTTAAAGGTTGTTTTTAACTACTTTGTTAAATAACAAATGTTTAGATATTAATTGACTTAAAATAGAGCAAAACTTAAACATTCCTTTCTTCAAGATGTCTAACAAGATTTCATATTATTTTCTAGTATCCTCCTATCTAATAAAAGACAATAAGGGTAATTAACCGTACCTCTGCTACACTTCCCATTGGCTAATCAGGATGATATGTAAATTAACTGCCAACAAAGATGGCAGCCGACAGCCATGCAGCTGAAGTGAACATGAGGCTTCCTTGCTCCAGTGATGGAGGAAGCCAAGGTTCCCCGCCTGCCGCGGCCCAGCTCTGAGCCCGAAAGCAACAATGTTTCAATTATAGAAGCTAAACAAACCCCAGATACCTGCTTTCCGTGGCCACGACCTCAGAGCTGGGAGCGCCAGTGACGGCAACAATGTTTCAATTATAGAGGTAAATAAATCCCAGAAAAAAAAAGAAAAGAAAAAAAGGAGAGGCTGGGAGCTTCAGTCGCCGGCCAGCCTGAAAACGGCCCTCAGCCCCTCACCCAGACTGGCCAGGCACCCCAGTGGGGACCCCCACCCTGAAGGGGGTGTGACCAGCCTGCAAACACTCATCAGCCCCTCACCCAGGCTGGCCAGGCACCCAAGCGGGACCCCCACCCTGATCCAGGACACCCTTCAGGGCAAACCAGCCGGCCCCCACCTGTG